ATAAACTGGCTTTTTTTAAAGAGAAACTTGAGATTTTTAGTGTAAAACGTGCGCATGTTAAGTCATTAAAGAGTCCTTTGGCTGCTGAGAACGTTTTATTTTTAAATGACATTGTTAAAAAGTTTCGGAGTTTTTCGAAGTCGGAATCGGAGTCAAAAAATAAAAATTTTCGGAATCGGAATTGGAATCGGAGTCATAAAAAGAAAGATTTCGGAATCGGAGTCGGAGTCGGAGTCGGAAGAAAGAGATTTTTCGGAGTCGGAGTCGGGTTTCGGAATGAAAAAAGTTGACTCCGCAGGGCTCTAATGCAATGTGTGGGTACCAGTGAACACGGATGCTGATTATGATTTTTTAACTTCAGACACTCATATTCACACACTAAATCCACATTCGAATTTGATTATTTGCGTATAATAGCCTTCCATGAAGCTCTAGTTGCATTTTTAGAGATGATTGACACAATTTTTTTATAGAAAAAAACATGAGGTTTTAAAAAATTGGAAAGGACTTTGCATGTTTTATTTTCGGATTAAAAAATCATCAGAAGTATAATGTTATATGCTTTTCAAACTATCCAAATAAAATTGAAGAGCTTTTTAACGACATAAGTATGGATAGTAAATACTACAGGTGCTGCCGATTACAGCTAGTGTTACGATAAGTGCGATCCATCCACCAAGTCCGCCTAATGTAACAAGAATGTTAAAGACCAGTGCCAATGTACCCATCGTTCTTGCACTTTCTGCATTTCCTTCCCGTTTTCTATTTCGACATATGATACTGAATATTAGTGGCAAAATTCCGCCGAACAACCATCCAACAAATAGATTCACAATAGACCATGGAAGCCAGTCACGAATTGTATTAATTGATTGACCTACCATTGGATTTTGCTGCATGTATTGAATCTGAGTCCCCGGTTGCACATATGGCTGCTGAACATATTGAGCATTGAACCCTGGTTGCATGTTTGGCTGTTGAGGATATCCAGGTGGACGATTATATTCTGCCTGTGGATTCTTTGATTGTTCACTATACATTGCTGATGTCGTTGTATACGCAATTCTCTGAAAGACGAATGTTGAAATACAGCAAACAAAATGAAAGCTTGCTCTTATTTATATCATAAACAAATCTTTATTTTACGTGCTTTGTTTTTCATCATGCTTACTGATACTCACTGATAAGAGTATTTAACGAAGGCTTTTGATACTACATGTTAGGAGTATTATTCATTTAAAGCAAATAGAAACGCTTTTTTGAGTGAGTCCATACAATCAGTATGTCATGTTGTATACAACGAACGTTTTTTCCCTATATCTATCATTAATCAAAAAGCAAACGTCATCTGCATAAAATTTAATAAAAAAAACAGAGACAAAGTTGGGTGTAGATATGCAGATACGCGTGTTGATGTAAGTGCGGCTGTGCGTCACGGTAGCATGTGGGTGTGCACTGTAAAAAGAAAGAGTAGAATAATAAACATTTGTTGTAAGTACTAATTTTCATAAACCATTTCAGTGTTTATGAGACGAAAGATTCTGAAAGCAATTGTATATGAAAATAAATATGGTTTATGACTGCTAAAAAAGGGTTTACTGTACTAGGATATAGGGACAATGGTTTATTATTTTATCCTTAAAGACATATTATTCTATGATTTCAATGAAAGGATCTATTACTTCGCCCTTAAGTGTATATTATTCTACGGTTCTAACAGATGGATCTATTATTTCACCCTTAAGGGTATAATACTCTACTGCTTCAGATTAAGTAGAGGTGAATGTTGGACTAATATCTCGAGAACAAGAATGAATAGTATATCTGGATTGAGGAAATAGTAAGACATCTCAATTCGAGTGGGATATAGCAGAAATATCGGATGACAGAAAATATTTTTCTACAATCTAGAAGAATGTGTACAGGTTGAATTTAGCATTTAACATCAAAATTTTAGTTAACTAGCCAGTTTAACTTTGAATTACCTTAAATTACTCACTTCTATGGGATAATAGCGTGATTAGGGTAATTCTTCGTCTTGCTATATGCAAAAGTGGCAGATAAAAGTGGTCATTTTGCATTGCGTTGCAAATTTTTCTTGTCAGTCGATAAACGAGCTAGAATTTTTAGGGTAAACTTCTGGCATGACTGAAGTCGGACAAAATAATCAGAAAAATTTTCCAAAGCTTCTTTAACAAAGCCATTAGAACCAAATCGAAAAATCGGTAGGAGAGAGTACGGGGAGAAAAATCTTCGATTTTGCAAAAGTGGAAAATAAGTATGTTATGATTATAGAGTACGGCCAACTTGATAATGTCGTGTAGCTGTTTTCGAAAGAAAGAATGTGAATATGTATTGGGTTTGGCGTCAGATGTTGTTATAAGACGGAAGCTGATGCATAAGTAGACCATTTCAAATTCATTTTATTAGTTTAAAAACCATGTTACATTACTGAGTCGACAGTGCTCTACAATATTAGTATACTTATTTTCCTCTTTTACAAAATCGAGGATTTTGATCGCGTACCCTCCCCTTCCTACGGGTTTTTAGATTGCACTGTTGGGTTTTCAACTCTACTACTGTCCGTTTCAAAATAAAAGGTGTATCACCATTTATCGAATAACTTTTGATAGGAATAAGATAGAGAGCTGCGGTTTTCACCATTCGAAAGATTGATGTCCGAGCCATCGGCCAGTATAGAACTCAATAAGATGAAGGCTGCTTTATAAATGCCTTTGGATCAAAATTTTTTCCTTCTATTATTTTGATCAATTTTCACAATAATCTCAACTCAAATTATGTCAAAATGTAACTCAAATCATCCTTTTTTCGTTATAAAATTATCACATATTTCAATATCTCTCAACCTCCTACTCTAAGCGAATTCTAAGAAATAAATATTAATTTTATAGCGAGAAGAGGATGATTTGAGCCAAGGCGGGAAAAGCAGATCCTGGATCCAGGTGGATCGTGGTGGATGCTAGTGGATTCTGGTGGATCCTAATGAATCCTAAGGAATTGTAGAATAAATTATTTGAACTGTGCCGAAGAAAAAGTGGAAGAAACTGATCCTTATCGATGGTGCTGTTATTTAGTGTTCCATGAAATTAAATGAAAAAAGGGCAAAGTATCTTCAGACTTTGTTACTAACAACCCAGGACGATGATTACGACCGCTGTAGCGACCAAAACCATAACGTATGCTGTTGTTTCATATCGTTTACGACCGTAAATAGACGTAAGTTAATGTTTTGTTAGTGACAGTATTACGACCGTTTTTTATTGCATGGTATACAATTATCAAGCCGCCATGGTTGAGTGGTTACGTTGTTCGGCACGTACCCGCAAGGTACTGTGTTCAAACCTCAGTAACATCACCCATGGAATGACCCTGGACAAGTCACTAACGGCTAAGTTGTCTAAAAATGACTCATTCCACATGAGTCATTCGTGCTGACTACATCTTTGGTCAGTATGTTGGACGGAAGAGGGTGCAGATACCGCCGTCTGTAAAAAGAAAAAGACGAAAGAACCCGGCTGCATGTGGAAACTAAATAATAACCGCGGTCGGCCCCAACGGGCGATAAGCCTATGGGACGTTATTATTATTATTATACTTATACATGAATTATTAGCAAATATTTTTAAACCAAATAAACCAATGTTATCTATAACTGATCTGACAAATCTACTTGGACTTTTATCATTATCAATTAATTCATTTCAATCATCATGTCAAATTACTTCACAAGAAATTATTAAACAAATTAAAATTACAACAAATACATCAACAATAACGAATCTTTTACGAACAGTTCTTGGTCCAACATTAGTACAAATTTATCGATGTTATATAGATGAAAATGCAATATTTTGAAAAAGAAGTTTCTATTTATGGTTTTCTAGAGAATCTTATGGTACATTGAAGTCTATATAAGAATACTCTGAAGATTTTATGATACTCTAGAATATATTTATATGAATTTCATTTTTCGATATGATTCAGTAGTTATAGTGGATAAACTTCATTGGAGTTGTCTTAACATTAAGAAAAAAGTTTGTTTTCTAAAATCTAAGATATTTATTAAAGAATAACGAAAAACTTTCTCAAATAACTGTATACTATCGGTCTCCATTTGTTGTATAGATAGCATCTTTTTGAATAATAAGAACTAATGAGTAAATCGTAAAATATTTATCGAAAATAACGATAATGAAAAATTTTATCTATATATAATCAGTGAAGTATAGGTAATCATTTGAAATAAATAGATCCTATATTATTCGAAAAAGATTCTTGATTCCTATATTCCTGAGAGGCACGAGTATACAGATTCGGGATATTTTGTTTTAAATTATGGTATCAGTTCTACTTTCAATTATACAAATCATTGTTTATGGATGAAGCCTTAAAAAAATGTATATAGAAATTTTCTCTAGTATAAAATCTCTTTTGCTAGTAGCGTGAGCCCATGCGTGCTCCACGACTGTTTTTTTCTCTTCAATCTTCCACATAGTACGAGCCATATAGACACTCTGCAGGATGTATATAGATATCCGAAAGTATCATGCTCTTATACGACACTTTCTTTTATTTTTGATTGGCTTTCGACTTCATTGCCTTGTACCTCTTGTGGTATTACCCCCTTTTTGCTTTACTCTTTTCAGAGCCTCTAGGTAAATCATACAATAACCTTTGAGAAAATCTCTCTAGAATCTATCTAGATGATCAATAGGTATCCCATATAATGTCCTTATACTCTTCTTTGAGCTGTGATCTGACACAAAGAAAAGCACGCTGAACATTATATATATATAGAAAGGGAGATATCCTCGTACTCATCACCATTAGGGGTGTAGGGGTCAAAAATTTTTCTCGATTAATAGATGACCTATTTATATCAAATGATGGAGGACAATTTACTAATTATTTATAAATAAAATTTTTGGATTAAGTATGCTGAATAGTGTGAAAGTTTTCATCAATATGTCGGACCTATAATTAACGAACGATCGCTAATATTACAATTTATTCATCAGTTCCTGTTGTTCTGAATGTTTTGAAATATGCAACATGTAGAGATCAGTAGTACGCAATTATTCGAGAAAGTTTTTCGTTATCGCTCAATCAATATCTTAGGTTGTAGAAAACGAACTTTTTTCTTATCGTAAGACAACTCCAATGAAATTTGTTGATTATAAACAATTGAAGAGCATATAGAACTGCATTGATTGACTCATATAAATAAATTCTAGAGTATCGTAAGACCTTCAGAGTACTATATATCTTCTTATTGAATTATAAGCATTGTATAGATCATTAAGACATGAAAGTTTAACGTCCTATATAAGATTCGATACGTCTTAAAATTCTCTAGGAAAGCATATAGAGAAAGTTCTTTTATCGAGAATAACAAGGGAAGTAATTTGATTATTTCTGAATACATTTTAGGACGTGGTTTAACGATTAATTTTCCTTCTTGGTTTTTATTACTTTATCAAACATGTCTTTCATTACTTAATACTTTTTCTAATACTCCTCCATTAATATCAACTTATGATAATCTTTCGATTATTTTTGATACGGATTATTGTCATATTTGTAAACAACTGTTTAGTTTTTTAAAAAATACAAAATCATTTGAACAAACTTTTATTCCAAAAGATAAAATCGATCATTTTAATATTATTGTAAATAAAATTAGTCCATGGATTATTGTTATCAAATCTATGATGTCAGATAAAGAAAATCATCAAATAAATATTATTAAAATATCAGCATATGATGAAGCGATTTCTCATGTAAATAATCTTCTTCGTTCATTACTTTATCACATTCAATTATCAAATCATAGTGAAGATCAATCTAAAATGACAAGAAAAAAACGTTTCAAATCATCAATGTGATCTTATTTGTTTTGTTTTTCTATTTGTTTCATGTTCTTTGTAATAGATTCTTAACTTATTTATATACATATATATTTCTGTTTTGGTTCTTTGTATTCAAGAAATTATTTCTCTCATTTTTACAGAATAAACATACCTAATACAGAACTGATGAAAAATACTTTTTTTCAAATCAATATCATTGAGTTAATTCACTTGGTACTAGACTGAATTTCTCGATGTCATCATGTTAATACACTTTTAGACGAATCTACTGCAAGAACGTGATTCGTTCAATAGTGAAGTAACAATATAAAGCTCATGGAGAAAATCATTTTGTACACAAGTTGACCTCTGAAATAGATGAGTCTTCCATGCAAGTAACTTTGAATTTTTGTTCAAGGAAATAGTTTGATTCTAGTTTTTTTTTTTTGTGCTCCTATATTTATCACAAGTATCAAAGAGTAAAATGAGAAAATCTTCAGTGTTGAATGAAAATTTTGATATAACTCAATGTCTTGAATTAGTAGAATCTTTCAATTTTTATGTTTCAATAAGAAGATGTGAAGTAAGAAGTGAAGCTTATCTTTACAATGCTAGTCTAACACATTGCTTTTAGATCAGTGTTGATGGTCATATTCCTGCATCGAATGTGCAAGAATCTTATAATATGTTGTCTCAGTTCCTATCTCGTAGTCTTCAGTCAAATAAAAATGTGTTTTCAAGATGAAAGTTTCAGTGTTTTTGTTTTTAAATAGAAGTCTTTCTGTTATTTTTGAATTGAATAACAAGTTCCTAATTTATATGTATTCTGAATGATTTTTCAGAATCAAATGAAGTATTCGTTTCAGAAAATAGCAATGAAAGCTTGTTAGCGCAGCACCTTCGGTGCTGAAATGTGAAGAAGGAAGCATTCAACCATAAATTTAGAGTAGCAATACGTATAATTCACCGAGCACCATATATCAAAGCAGAAGATCTGCTTTCTTTCACTCATGATGTCCTACTCGAAAGCTATATCAAACGCTATATTTCTAATAGGCTTAAAAAGATTTACACATCCGACCCAGGTTTTTCATCATTTTTAGATATGTTTTTTTGGGACAACTTCCATGAAATACCTGACGACGGCGTGAGTCACTTTGTCTTCATGAGAAGCATTAAGAAACTGCAAACTAGACACCACTCATTGCTTCTTACCTGGGTAGAATTCATAAATAACCCCCATAGTCTATTTCCATGCTTTACGTTATAGATCATTAACATGCAAACCTTTTGATATATAATTGTTGTCGTAGTTGTTTATTCAATTATAAGTATTTTGTCTCCTTTTTATCCCAACCCTGTATCCCCTATTATGTCGTTAGTCTTCTTTTTGTTCTTTCTGCATTCTTTAGCTTATTAGCAGATATATCTCTATCTTTATTTGCTTCTTATTTTCGTTTCTTTTTCTTTTTGTTGTCCATTGTAAGCACTTGAGGACATCACAACAAAACAGAACGCAAACAAAAAAAAACTTATGAAAAAAATGTATCTGGTGATGACGATGGTGGTGGTGATGACGACGTTGACGATGCCGATGACGATGATGATGATGGTGGGAATTTGTTAAACCATCTGGTTAGCCAATATGTAAATACGAATAATAATACGCCACCAGCTAGAGAACTTACAACACCTACAACAGATCAATTTTAAAAATCCAATAGAAAAAAAAGAAACAACAGCAATAGTAACCATATTAAATTATTTTTTAACTTTTAATACAATAAAAATCATTCTTCACTATTTAAAACTTTTCAAGGATTAACTAATAGCTAGTGTTATTAGATGGATGAATTCATAATTTAGAAAAATACGACAACTTGTTGAAATCCCGAACGAAAGCCACAAAGACTTTTAAGGATCAGTATCAACTGATACGATCACATTTTCTCGCATCAAATTATTAATATCATTATTAATGATGTTCACCCAATATACTTCTATAAGAACAAGAGAATATCTCTGAAAATATAATTAGTGCAATGAATAGCAACTCATAAAATACGCACATCAGTCGTGAATAAATGTATGTGGATCTACATAATATGAATGACTAATATTTCATTTTTATTAAACATTATGAAACTAATTGAGAAAGACAAATGAAAAGTATTGATCATCTTTTTCATTCATATAACTATTATAGAATAAAAGAAAAACGATACAACAGTCAAGACCGAAGAGAAAGTAATCCATACAGAAAAATATTTGAAAAGCTTTTCAGCGGAGACCTTCTTTTGCTAAAATATAGAGTTGGTGTGTGTTCTCTTAACCTCAGTAAAACGATCAAACCGATCTTTATAAAACAATTCTATCTTATTTATTTCTAGATTTTCAAGAGATATTTCTTGCTTTCTCTGGCATCTTTTTTTCTGTCTCATTCTCATGTGTTTTCAAGATGCTTCTCTTTTATATTGTGCAGTTCTGTTCACAAACATGTCATAATAATAAATTATGAACGATTCAAAAGATGAGTAAAAGCTGTCTATCAGATGAAGAAAACAGCTTCCTTTCAGCGCTTGTCTATCGAAGAGAAATAGGGATAAATATTTTGTGCTATTACTTTTGTACTTTACGTTAAATTCTTTTTTCTTAATCAGTGGTTGATTATTGCTTTCCGTAATGGACGGAGTATATATGACGATGAACTATGCCTGTAAGAAGAAGACAGATGAGAGTAGCAAAAACGTGCCTTTAAAATTACATATTAGACTTACTTCAAAAAATATATGTGAGCTCCATAATATCAAATGAAAGCTCGATTTCTGAGGCACTGTTTTATTCTGGCATTAATCCGCTAACAAACCCTAATCATTCAAAATTAATTTCTGATATTTACTCGTAATTAATATAGTTTGCATAGTCGATTAAAAATATAAGATTTTCGAACGAAAATGAAACCTTGTTGCTGATGAAAAATTCGTTCCATTCAATATTAATGGTACCGATATCATCGATTTTCAATATGAATCTGGGCTTTTTTTCTCACATGAGTATTGATTCTTTTGAGTTTATCAACTGATCAAGGACATTCCGCTTCCTATTGTCTATAAATCTGCATCGAAATTTAGCGATATATGTAATAAAATTGAAACAGAATATATTTAGAATCTGGAAATCAGTAAAATTTCAGGAAAGCATGAAAGCTTTGAGATTTTTCTGAAAAACTCATAAATTTGGCAAAATTATTCGCATGATCAAATACTGAACAACATAATGAAAATTTAAACAAGCTTTTATAACATCAGAAACTCACTTATTTTCAGAGTCCGTGAGTACATTAAGCTTATGACAATAAAAGATTGAATAGAGTACTCTGTTTTTACAGGCACTTTTCATTAAAACGGGTTAAATACAAAATCTGCACGATTGTCTATGTTAGGACCATCCATTAAGATTCATAAACAAGAAAATGTTCTCCCTTGTAAACAAATAAAAGCTATCTTTGATAATTTCTCTAAATATAACAGAAGTTAGTCATAGTTCTTGAAAATTCAACGATAGATTTCGTACTATACTCTGTAAATTCACTGAAACATAAACCTACTTATGGAACATATTTTGAAAAATCTAACAGTAAATTTCTGGTTGTATGCATTTTTAATATTACATAATATTGTTATCACTAGAAGTTACGAGTGAAGTTGACATTAGAAAAAATATACTCAGCGAAAATAACAGATTTGAGAATTATTTATTGTTTTATTTAAACGAATTCATCCACTTTTTAGGAACACGATAAACTACAAGAAATCGAACTTTTATTCGACTGGCAAACACATCTTTCGCACAAAGAAATTCATAAACTAACATATATTAGCAAAAAAAACAAATAATCAGCGTCAGCTAATGTGCAGTATATATAAATGATCTAATTCATTTTTTTCTGCTCACCGTAAGAAAAATTGTTAAAAACTATAGCACTAATGTTATCATAAAGTCGAGACCAAATACCATCTGAAAAATGAAACAAAATAGAATATTGTTTTTTTGTATTTTTGTTATGTCGTTTATTGACTGATATTAAAATTTAAAAATCCAGTCATGCGTTGAGTACAATAATTCCAGTAAGATATAAAACATGATCAAATGATTAGAAGAGTCGGTCTATACTGAATTTCTAGAGTAGAATACTCATTTATACAGTGCGTATTTTCATTTTCACAATCACAGTTCGTATTAAGAATAAGATAGAGATATTAAAAGAACTTTTTACTACATACATGGTCACTCAATAAGATTTCATTATTAAGATGTGAGATTTTTATTCAATAAATCAGACAAAATCAAGTACATATGGTACTAAAAACAAAATATGAAAAACTGTATCACGGAAACTGACATGCTAACACTCTTAGATGCGAGATTGCCATCGATTTTTGTTCGATTCATAAAAAAAACTTTAAACACCATTTATACGTATAAAAGATTCTTACAGATTAGTATATAGAATTTAGGTGCTGAGGAAATCACCTCTGGAAGCATCTCTAGTTTGTCTATAGTCTTCATCTAGCTAATACTAGAGCATATAAGTTTTCATGCAAGGAAGAACTTGACTCGGACTATTGAAATCATTCGTCAGCAGACTCATACGTTTCGCACACAAATTGTTTATAGTTTCTTAAATAAAACGAAATATCTTAACTAAAGATACGACACAAGAAAACTAACTTGACTCTTTAATAATTTATCTATATTTTAGTTAGAATGCAAAATGCAACTATATAGTTATAATTTAGTGAATCAAAAGTTTCATTCACAACATTGAGATCCCATTGATTGTCAGTCAATGTAATAATAGAGTACTCATGATATTCTATGTTGAATCTAGTTTGAGTCATCATCTTGAAAATACCATCAATAATCATAAAAGTCATAATTAGATCGCTTTTATCGAAAAGTAACCGGGTTAAAGTGAAGCTATCAGAGATCTATGGGCCTGCCTACCTAGTACGAATATAGAACAACATTTTTTC